CGATCTGGGACCCGATCCCGCAGCCGAGTGTTTAGTGGCAGGCGACTTGCCACTGTTCCACCCATGAATTTTCTCATAACATAAATTCGAAGTACAGAAACCGTCGTTATAATTTGCAACCTAAAAGCCCTATTTTTCAGTCCAAAGTCTCGTCTGGCACTCCGCCAGCTGTCTGAGGGTGCGTTGGATTCGCCGTCGAATCCCGGTCCATGCCGGCCGTCTCGTCGACCGTTGTTCGCCACCACTTCACCGTCAAAAACTCCCGAGCCTCTTCCGTCTGTGCCCGTAAGGCAGTTACAGTTCTCCTGACAATCGGCTCTCATTATATCGTTTCATTGCGATGCATCCCTGTGATCTCTTTGTTAAGCCATGCTTGTGTTAATAACTAATTATATTGTTTGTACATAGAAAATCGTGATATTTTGTCGCTTGTAATATTTAATTAGGTCTTGATTTCTGAACCACCCCACTCACTGATTACTCTTATTTGCTGTCGATTTATTTACTGACGAAAGATTGCTTTGGATCAAGAATTCATCCTCTCCTTTCTCTGGGTGGGTCACAATGAGGAAAAAGACAAAGTTGGCCCCCATTTTTGGGATAATGATTATCAGGAAGGGATAACATAGGGAGTTTTCAACAAAATGCGGAGTTATTGGCTAGTTGAGAGGCCATACTCCGGGAGGACCTCGGGGAACGCCTACGAAAAGACGTAGGGTGATTCAGGAATTGACACCTAAAGTCTCGCACGATTTTTTCCAGCTATTTTTTCTAATTGCATGTGGAATTATCCCCTTATTTTGTATACCTCAGCTCAGGACTGGTGTCAAGCCCCTTCTCCTTATTATGAGCTAAATATTGGGCTATAGTGTCAAACACCTAGGACTTTCAATTAGTTTATCTATGCGGGTCCATTATATGCCACTAAGTGTTCATTTTTATTGATACATTGGTATAATTCATATTATCCAATGATATTTCTTTGAAAACTCACTTAAACCCAGCACGCTCCCTTTCATTGATTTTCCGTTTGTTTACATGCTTGCTTGTAGTCTATAGATTGTTTTTTGTATTATTTATAATTTGTTTAGGTTATTTCTATATGTAAGTAATGGTTATCCTCTCGGACACCGAACATCGTTTGTTGTACAATAAACTCGTCTTAAAGTAGTGCTGCTTTGGCAGGGTGACAAGCATTATCCTTGCATGTGATGCCGCGC